AGGTCTATACCATAGTGTCTATAAGCTAGCCACTGGTTTAATAACTTAAATAAAAAGTGACTTTTACCTATAAGAGGGTAAAAGGCAGTAGTTATCTTTATAATAAAAGTATAATAAGAAGAAAGAGTTTTTATAATAGTTTATAATTTATAATAATATATAATTTTATATACCGTTGTACGCGGTCTTATAAACTTAATCAATAATATATCTTAAGCCGTAATTCTATATAAACCATATTTATAGTATATTTTACTAGTATAAAGCTTAATAATCGGAGGTAGGGTGACTGTAAAATTCGATTTCTGCTTTGACGCATGAAAAAAGTGTTTTGGCGGAATGCCTCTTGCAGTCTGCCGTAGTTGGGCCCCCTTTCTACCGCTCATGATGCGACGCTCTAGTTCCTTTGCTCTCTTCTTGACTTTGTTTGTGTGTATGTATATACTGTCGCTGCGCTGCTAGTTGATGAAATAGTTCCTCGCCACCGCCCGCCTCCTGTGCGACGAGACTCTGTCACCTCGTTGCGTCCATTCATTCAAACCTAGCCGCTGTCTTGATTCTTGTTCCTGCCTTCAATCGCGTTACTTTAGTCTTCCAGGGGGCCTTTAATTGTTCGTGTCCATCCCGACGGGAGCTGGCCAAAGCACTGCGTTATCGCACCCGCAACCTTGAACCCCGAAAACCCTCTTTTCGCCGATCTTACCCCTAATTCGACTCGCCTCACTAAAATTCCCACGATGCTTCCCTTCTCGAACCAGCGCCGATACTCCCAGGATGACGCGGGAGAACCCGACCCAGAGTCAGACCAGCTCATCCCCGCGAAGAAGCGCCGACACCGCGTCCGCGTTCAGGGCCGACTCGCCGTCGTCCGCAGCGTGTCCACAGTGAATCTGCGACCCACGCCGTCAGTGGCCCCAGAGCTGCCATCCCCAGTTGTCGGTAATGGGTCGGGGGGCCCAGCGAGCGCAAAGTTCGAGTCGGGCGTGGCTGGGAGCACAGTGGCGCCGGTGCGGAGGAGGAAGAGCTTGGATGATGCTAGTAGCGACGAGGAGGAGGACGATGTCAAGCAGACTGCGGTGAGAGACCGCCAGTTTCGAGGATACGGGATTGGAGGGGCTGGAAACATTAGTAAGTTGCTGCCGCCTTGTTGTCTGCGTTGCGGACATTTCAAGTGGGAACACATCCTAACTGCTCCTTCACCAGGACGACCAACTGAAGTCTACGGCTCCGCCAAATCGAGCTCGTCGTCCTCTCGATTCTCAATATTCCCCTCTTCCGGGCCATCCGACGATTCGGACAGGAGGCATTGGAGCTTCAAAGACCTGTTTGCCCGGGCAGGCGACCGCAAGGGAAAAGGGACCGCTTAACCAGGCCTCGCGTCAGGTAGCACTGGATAGCTGCAGCATGCATTGTGGGTGGGACAACAAGAGTCACGATAATGGCTGGGGCGTTTGGCATCTGAAAAGGACACGGAAACATTGGCTTCGAGAAACAACGTTGATGACGGGGGAATATGCAGAATGCCTCTGGCCCCGGGCGCCCGCGCCCGCGCGAACCAAGACAATTGAGAATGGTCCAGCAAAGCGGACTGGACACAATGGTCGAGCCCCAATATTGCAATAACGACACGGTCGCATTCTTCGCTTGCTTGTGCATCATGCCGCGCGCGCGAGCATCGTCCCTGGGCGCGGCCTTTAACTGTTCGCCGACGCCGATGCAATGTTGATCAACGAAGTTCACCGACTTCTCTCCACATGGACACAGGTTGTATGGCATCTCACAATGACTCGCTGCCTTACGATACAGTTGTACGATACAACTAGTGCGTTTTGACTACCTCTTTGACAGCTCCATACAACAAGCTTGAGGCTAAGAGACAGGCAGGACGGCCGTTTGACGGACGGACTAAAATCTGCTGTCAGATTTCCCTTTCGCAATGCGGCCCGATGCAGCCTTGTAGGCAATGAACCCGGCGACTATTCGACGTAACGGCGCGCGTACGGATGGGAGTCTCACCGAGACGAGTAACGGCATTGTTGCAGGCCTGGGTTGAAGCTCCCCGCGCTCTGCGTCGTCACTAGGTAACCCTCTTGTCCATATATATCAACGGATGCTGCTGCCCATATCAATGATTCCCTCGTCTCACTCTTGGAAGTAACAATTTGTTTGTCTTCACGCACAGCAGTCATCTTTGATCAACTTCTAGACGAGACAAATCATCCGAAACCATGACACTGTCAGGAGACTTTGTAGCTCAGGCTGCCGAAGCAGCGGCCAACAATGGTGTCAGCGATGGCAACAAGAAGCGTCCTTACCTTGTCTTCTGCGGGGCATCTGCAACAGGACACGCGTATCCCCTCCTCCAGATCGCAGATGAGATGATCCAACGCGGTTTCGAGGGCACATTTATGGCCGGCGAAGAGTTCCACCTTCAAGCCAAGCGCATCGGCGCCCAGCACGTTACGATCCCGCCCATGTTTGACCCCGAGATAGCAGCTAGTCGCAGAAAGACCCCCCCTGGCATTGCTCGCTTCATGTCTGACCTCAGCAACGTCTTCATCAAGTCTGTTACACCTCTCTTTCATGTCCTGATGGAGACCCTCGAGAAGATCCGTGTCGAGCACCCTGATAAGCAAGTTGTCATCATCCACGAGACGTTCTACATGGGCCTTACCCCGATGATGTACGGCACACCTCTGCCCAAGGGGTACACCACGAGACCGCCCGTTATCAACATCAACATTGTCCCCATCGCGTTGACGAGCATCGATACCGGGCCGTTTGGGACCAGTCTTCCTCCCGACTCAACCGAGTCAGGCCGGGCCCGCAACAAGCTCCTCAACGAGATGTTCTTCAGCCCGATGGGCCCCTTTGGTCCGGCGACAAAGGAGTACATCGACGTTATCAAGTCGCTTGGTGGTACACGCGAGTTGACGCAATGCCTGTTCGACTCATGGCAGAACAGCTACGACGTTACCCTGCACATGTCCTCGCCCAGCCTCGAATACCCCAGATCGGATCTCTCCGACACCATCAAGTACGCGGGATGTCTGCCACCCAAGCCCATCAACCCGAACTACAAGTACCCGGAATGGTGGAGCCAGATCACGGCCAGGAACAAGAAGATTGTGGGAGTTACACAGGGCACCATCGCCACCGGCTACACGGATCTCATCATCCCTACGATACAAGGCCTGGCTCACCGCGACGACATCATCCTTGTCGTTATCCTGGGTGTCAAGGGCGCGACTCTGCCCGAGGAACTTACGATTCCGGCCAACACAAAGGTCATCGACTTCCTCTCGTACGATGCCCTGCTCAAGCACGCAGACGTTTGGGTTATGAATGCTGGGTATGGAGGCTTCCTGCACGGCGTGGTGAACGGAGTGCCAATGGTGCTTGGAGGGGATACGGAAGACAAGCCCGAGGTAGCTATGCGAGGTCAGTGGGCGGGAATTGCTTTCAATCTCAAGACTGGTCGCCCTACGTCAGAGCAGGTTGCTAAGGGGGTTGACGAGGTGCTTGCCAACGATAAATACAAGAAGCGGGTGATGGAGATCAAGAAGGAGAATGAGGATATGAAGGCCATTGACTTTGTAGAGAAGCACATCTGGGATTACGCAGATTCGGCATAGAGGGTGGCATTTCGGTTTTATAGCGACGCAAGTGAGAATAAAGCCAAGTAATTTCTCTAAACATTGGAAACATCTATTCCATTCGGGCCGACATACTTGTTACCGATGCTCTCTCTCTCTCTCTCTCTCTGTTAATGGCATCACTGCTTCTCCTTGGCTCTTCCGGGGGCATATTCCGAGAAAAATACTTGGATGACAGAAAAGGCATGACACCGAGCCACCCGTTGTTAGAGTATCTCGCCAGCCCCGCATCGGCGCAGGGCCCGGTGCAGAGAAATCTCACGCCAGAGAAAGCTGGCCGTTATTATGCCATGTCTACTTCAATGATCGTCATTTACCTGCACAAGAGGAAACATCTATGTCTCTCATGTCTAGATTGGTGTGTTTTCATAGGGATTCCGAAATAAAGATTGAGAAAAAGTTGAAAAAATTTGAAACATCCAGATGACTCCATCCCCGAGAGCACCCAACCTCAGTCGGACGCCGTGAGCGCTTCTCTTCCCCTCGGCTCAACTTAGAGCAACAAGAGCTTGAAACGGACTTGACTAACTACATAATAAATAGATGCTTAGTTTGCAGACACCGCAAAGTTCGATGCGATCGCATCAAACCAGAATGCGGATTCTGCTCCAAGGGCGGCTTGCAGTGCGAATACACCACCGCTCGAAAGACGCCGGGATTGAGGGCAGGCTATTTCGAGAAGCTAGAGAAACGTCTAGATTGCCTCGAGAGAGAGTTTCAAGCTTTCAAGGGGAATATTGATCCGCATGGGTCCAGATATCTGATGGTTGGGGCTGGAGCAGAAACAGTCTCGAGACTTTCAGCACCGCCCAGCGCAATTGGCCTTGGTTCACAGCTCTCGATGTCGAATGGACAGGTTCTGGGCAGTCGTGTCGCGGCAACGTCTCCAAGCCGCCCTATTAACAGAAGATCACAGGATAAAGTCACCGAAGCCTGCAATCTAAGGTTCCAGAAACACCACTCATGGTTTCCCATACTACACGAGCCGACTATGATGGAAGCATGCGAAAAGTACTCTGGGCAGCGTGAAACTCCGGTCACTGTTGTGCTTGAAGCAATTACCGCCGTCGTCACTTCCACAGATAGAGGAGCCGCTCATGGAGATGACACCGAACGCAGTGGAGGACAGGACGAGCGGCGACACTTAGGAGACCAGATTCTACTACATGCGATCCATCACCTATCTCTTCACACACTACAAGCCCTACTCATCCTTGCCATCGCCGAGTACGGAAGCGGAAGAATGGTTGAGTTCTATAACCTCATTTCCCTGTGCAAAAGGTAGCCGCCCGAAATCACAAGTGCCCCAATGCCACGGAACTGACTAACACTCCCAACTCCAGAATGAGCACGCAATTAGGTCTCCGCGATCTGGTAGCACACAACTGCATGAACTACGGCTTCCCATCCGTGATCCCTTCCCGCATGCTCGCACTACCGGCCACAGCCGTCGAGCAAGAAGAGAAGATCCGCGCCTTTTGGACCATTGAGGCCCTGGATTCGGCGTCGACCGTCGGATCCGCCTGGCATCTCTCCGTCTCCCAGCCGCTACCGACAGCCAGTCTTCCGTGCGACGAAGAAATATGGCGGTGTCCCGAGTCCATCGTTTCCATGTACCAGTTTGGTGACCCCGAAGCACCGTCATCCTTCACCCTCTTCGTTCGGCTCGCGATAAATGAGATGTGGCATGTGAACCAGTTTCTACAACAGCCGTGCGACACGACATCGGTATCGGATCTGCAACAGCGAAAGCTGGATTGCACCATAGTTTACGAAAGGTTAATGACATGGCATAGAGACTTTGGGCAGATGCTGACAGTGCGGACACCACCTCATACCGACCTCTTTGACGGTGCCGCATCCCGCCATCCGAATACAATCCTCATCCATTGCACTGTTCACAGCGCCGTCGTCTCCCTCCATCAACGACTCATATTCCCCGACGATGACACGGCGAGCGAGCACTCCTGGAAAGATGCCGCGGAGCGCTGCTTGACTAGCTGCGATGAGATGATCAAGGTCATACGCGGTGCGGGCGATGGCATGCTCGAGACGGCGAACCCTCATATCATTCACTGCGTCTTTGTCGCGGCACGCTTCAACATTGTATATAACCGTGTGTTGGGCCTGGGTCCGCCGAACAAGGTGTGGCTTCTGATTTATGGGCTCAGAATCTGCGGGCAGAGGTGGTGGCCGCTTGCGAGACAGCTGCTCAAAGTGCTCGAGGCGGCTGCTGGTACTGAGGGATACGGAGGGGTCAGTAGGTTGAAGGCGCTTCCGGGTGAGTTTTGGGATCTACAGTATTTGTCACTCGATATTTACGAGGCTTTGCGAGTATGGGTGATCGAGACATGAAGGAGTCAACTGTCTAACCTGGTCTTCGCCTATGCATAAATGTCAAGTTCATCCCGAACCTTTTCAGCCCGACTCTTTCCATCCTCTACATCTAAACAAAAAGACCCTCTTCCACAGCCTTGATCTGTAGTGCCAAGAGGCGCGAATAAGAGCGACACAGGGCGAGATTCCCACCCATGTAGTAGAACAGCGGATGACCACTGCTTCTCCAGATCTGTCCAATGTTAGCCAAGGTAAGTTGTCAAGATTTGTAGCGACCGTATAAAAACTCACAGAGTTGATTTCGCCCTGCTCATCAAGATCCCAGCACTCCTTAACCCGGTCCGCCACCCTGTCTCCCAGAATGTTACGTGTGCTCGACCTCATACCATCATACCCTGTCGCCAGCACAACAATGTCGGCATCCAAAGTCGTGCCGTCCGCCAGCGCCAGACCTGTGGGTGTGAAGCCAGTTATCCCCTCAGGGCTATGGTGTACCTTGACCTTGCCGTCAACAATCAACTGACTGCACCCAACATCAATGTAGTATCCTCCACCGCGAGTGATGTACTTGCGGTAGATACCGCTTCCATCTGGCCCAAAGTCAAGCTTGAAGCCCGCCTTACGCAGACCGTCCAGCAGCTCCTGGTCGACTGCGGTGATGGCTTTGATACCGTGCGTATTCAGCGCGAATTGTACGGGAATCGGAATGCTTTGCGCAACGATGTCGCAGTCTTCGGTTGGCGGGCCGCCTTCTTCGTACATGCCCTTATGCATCACAAAGATTCCCTTGCTTGCTGTAATGACATAGGTGCCGCCCCTCTGGACCATCGTGACCTGCGCCGCGCCATTTTCATAAAAGTTCTGGCAGATGTCGTGACTCGAGTTGCCGGAGCCTACGACGAGCACTTTCTTGTTGAAGAGATTGTCGACGAGGGAGGCATCCTGGTGCTGGCTTCCGTGGTATACTACCCCCTTGAAGTCATCCTGTCCGGGGAATGTGGGAGTGATGGGATCGCCGGCCTGGCCAGTTGCCAGAACAATGTGTCGAGGCTTGAGGGTGCGGAGGGTGCCGTCCACCCGACGAAGTTTGATGGTCCAGGTCTTCTCTTGTTCGTTGTAGCTTGTCCCTTCGATGTTGGTGCTGGTCCAGATGTTGAGTTCCATCATCTTTGCGTAGGATTCCAGCCAATCTGCCAATTTGTCCTTGGGCATGAACTGGGGCCAATTTCCGGGAAATGGGATGAAGGGGAGATGGCAGTACTGGATCGGATCGTGGGTCATGAGAGTCTGCAATTGAGATGAATTTCAAGGTAAGCGTTCGTCTCATTACACCCATTCAGAGTTTCAGTGAACTCATCAGAAAGACTGACTCTGTATCGCTTGCGCCAACTGTCTCCGACATGCTCGTTGCGATCTATCAGCAAAGTCGGGAGACCAAGATTCCGTAAACGAACGCCAATATTGAGCCCAGCATGTCCTAACAAGATGCAGGTCAGCAACGTATGACCACCACCATCGTATGCAACTCACCAGCGCCGATGACCAAGACAGTAGGGTCCTCATGGATAAATTCCACCTGCTTTTCGCGTCTCTCCTTCCAGTTGCCGCCTTTGGGGTCGACATGACCGGTAGGTCTATCTACTCCCACCTTCTCCTCGAAGCCCTTCAATTCCAATAGAGTAAAATTGATCATGAAGGCTTTCCAGGTGTCATCCGCTTCCAACGCCAGTCTCACCATACCCTTACCACGGCCAACGCTGGACTCAAAGTCGAACATGCTTTCCACCCAATGGACACCTGGCGCCGGGTCCCCAAAAGACGGCTGGAAAGCGCCCTTTTCCCGGGGGACGATCTGGCGGAGACCAGCCCGGGGCTGATTTTCTTTGAAAAAGGCCGTGATTTCGTCGAGGCCATTGATGGTTCGAAAGTCCCATGAGAGGCCAAGGAAGTCTCGTATCCAGGCATCTTCGCGAAACACGGTCGAGAGGCCGTTTTGTACGTTGTTGGCAAGCACTTTCTCAAAAGCCTGTATCCAATTCTTGACGATTTCTCGTGCGTTTTCGGGTGTCTTTGAAGTAGGCTCCCTCAAAATAGGAAGCTTGATGGTATAGTCGTTCTTCGCCATGAGGAGTTTATCCCTTTTGAACCAGGCCTGCGCCGTTTAAGCCAGCACAAACTCTACGACAGACTGGAATGACGATGTTGGGCTTCAAATGACAGCTGAGCATGACCGGACAACATTAGTCCGCACCTGGGTAGCTCTGGCGATCGGCTTCAAACTTTTGAGCTTCATGCAGGATCCTGGAATCTGATTGCCGAAACCGAAAAAAGACGGCCCGCCGTCACCTGCATTATGTCGGCCGATGGACACGTCCATCACATCGATCACGGCCAATTACATCGAGAAGTCATCAAGACCCAACGGGCCGTGTCAGATTACCCCTCCCTGACAGCCCCAACATGGCCCATCTCCAAATCCACATCGCAAATGTTAGCTGTAGCTATTGGAAGCACCAAAGTGGCTTGCTGCATGACGGCGCGACACAGCCCGTTGGGGCGTGAGGGGTCACTCGGTCTCGCTGGAACACTCGTTTTATTCTTTATTTTGTCACAGTTCGCAACTGTTTACACGGGCCGTGTCGTGATTTTGGGGAAGTCACTCAACTCGGGCGTTTGATAATCATCAGGCCGATGATCCGAAGACTACCTAAAGCCACATTCGCGACGTGAAATGAGATGTAGTATGTCCAATCAAACCTATGACAAGGCGATACGTCACTGGTTGAGGGCTGCCTCGGACGACTCTCGGCCGATGGCACTGAAGCACTTGAAATGAGGAGAGATGCCTTTCATTAGTACATGGAGTACTTTGGTGCAAATCAGATCCTAAAGAAACACAGCTTTTTGATATAACTCACTTGAAGTCTTTATGAGTTTCAGAAGTGACGTCGAAACCATTTGTCTTTTAGCAGTCCATCTTGCATCAGCCCCAGCCGTTACAAGTTCATACGCAAGATGGCGACCGCGGGAATGCAAAACCCATCCTGGTTTCTATATGGCCCAGGCTCCGCCAAGATTGTCGACAGGCCTACTCCTACTCTCAAGAACGAACACGACGTAGTTGTTAGGATCCGGTATGTCGGCGTTTGCGGCAGCGATGTATGTCCACCATCCCTTCATCCCAGCTGATCAGATGTTGACCAATCTACCAGGTGCACTTCTGGAAAGAGGGAGGGTTCCAGCGCAAAGTAAGCGACGAGAAGCCCATCGTCATGGGCCATGAAGCCTCTGGCACCATCGATGCAGTCGGTTCCGGCGTAACATCCATCAAAGTAGGCGACAGCGTAGCCATCGAGCCCGGATTCCCATGCCGGCGTTGCAAGAATTGCAAAGACGGTCACTATAATCTTTGTAAAAGGATCGCCTTCGCAGCTGCACCGCCGGATTCTCATGGCGCCTTGACAAAGTACTTTGTTGTACCGGAGGACTTTGTCTACAAGGTTCCCGACGAGGTGAGCCTCCAGGAGGCGGTCCTCGTGGAACCTACCTCCGTGGCCGTCCATGCAACGCGTCTCGCTGAGATCAAGTACGGGCAAGATGTCGTTGTGACGGGGTGTGGGACGATTGGGTTGCTCTGCGCAGCCGTGGCCAAGGCCTTTGGCGCGCGACGCGTCATCTTGGTCGATATTATACAGGCGAAACTGGACTTTGCGCACACCTTCCTCGACTGCCAGACATTCTTAATTGAGCCTGGGACAACGAGTGAAGATGTTGCCGCGAAGCTATTGGAGGCAGCAGGCATCGCCGATGGGGTGGACGCTGTCATTGAGGCGTCGGGAGCACAGTCGTCAATCCAGACGGGGATCTTTCTGCTGAAGGCCGGCGGGAGCTACGTCCAGGCTGGGTTGGGCAAAGCCAAGCCTGAAGTTCCCATGCTGGTATTGTCCGAAAAAGAACTCAGAGTCCGGGGATGTTTCCGATACGGATCTGGCGATTATGACTTGGCTTTGTCGCTCATTGCAGAGGGCAAGGTGAAGCCTAAGGCGATGCTGTCGAGTGTGACACCCTTCGAGACGGCCACCTTGGCTTGGGACAAGACTGCAAAAGGCGAAGGAGTCAAGAATCTCATTGAGGGTGTCAAAGATTGAAAGAAGCCCTTGGTTGAGTTTATGTAGCTGCGAAGACTTTCAATCTCACCGGGTGTGGTTGTTGTCGCGTGCTCTCTCTAAGTAGTCAAATTCAGCGCGGACTCTGTCATTGATATTTTGTTTTTTTGCATCACGAAAGACCATTTGGAATACCAATGAATCAATTTTATCATTAATGAAAGCAAGCTCGCCATGCTAATTTACCGGCACCGAGTCCACGGAGCTTCTTGTCCACCCCTCTTCTCAAGTCACAGGTATTAGTGTCAGCCCGCCCGCCCCAGTTGTCAGTACGGAATTTGTCTTGCCGCAAGGTTGGCCTTGATAATCCGAGCGTGTTGCATCACTCTGGCTGCGACTCCGGCTGTTCTTTGATCTCAAGCCCGCAATGGCGAATCTCATCTCATAGTCGTCACCCCGAGTCTTGCTTGTCGGCCATTTCCCTGGGAGGCTCAGCGGAACTCTCACGGATTCACCTGATCTCAATTGATTTGCTCCGACGAAAGCCCCAGACGTCGTCCCTGGGGCTTGTTGTTCTTGCAACGAGGCTTCTTCTTCGGATGAATCTTCTTGTCCTTGAACTCCGTCTTGGGAACGATGGTGTGGAAGTTTTGGGTGGAGCCGAAAGCGTCACTGCTGGATTGCTTATCGTCAGGCTTTTTTGACTTGCGCCGGGATGAAGGCATTTGTACCTTGGCGTCGTCCTCTTCCTCTTCCTGAGAAAGTTTGTTGCGGTATACAACTCCGCCAAGAACATTGACAGAATCCGCTGGCTTCAGCCAGTTGTTCTTGCAGTTGACCTTGCCTCGGCTCGCCTTCTCGCGCGCGTCTTTGATCTTGCGCTCGACCTTGTCAGCCTCGATGCGGATGAGCAGCTTCCGCTTGATCTCCTCGTTCTCCTTCTTCTGGTCCAGGATCTCTTGGGCGTATCTCTGGGCGTCGCTGAGGGTATCCCGGGGATCCCACTTCTTGACCGGGTCTCGGTTCTTGGGAATGAGGGTTTCGGTGCTCTTCTTCCTGGCATCGAGACCACGTTCCACGCCGATGGCCACGAGGAAGCTGGCGAAGTCGTCGATGCGGCTGCCGTCCCAGGTTTTGGTGTGAACCTTGTAGCCGCCATTGATGAACTTGTGAGGGGTCTGCGCAACGAGGGTAGCGTTGATCTTCTTCTTCAGGGTGGATACTTCCTTGGACAAGTTGGCCTTGCTCTTGACGTCGGATGTTATCTCGGGGTCCTGGGTGTGCATACCCAGGAATCCAGCGAGCTTCAGCTGTTCGAGTTTTGTGCAGTCGGGGTGAAAGTTCTTCTGAAGGAACGACGACATCTCGTCGGCATTATCATAGGCGTCCATCTTACACTCGGGAAAGGACGTCATGGCATCGTGAGCTGCCTCAGCAGTCTGTCCCATTCCACCGAGGATGATACGATCCAGACCACCAACTTTATCCGATTCCTGGAGCATGATTTGGGCGATGTAAGGGAGACTGCCGGTTTTCATCCCGACTGTGGCCCTGTCTTCGGGCGTGAGGTTGTTCCACGGACGCGCGTGGGCTTTGGCGTGGGGAAAGACCCAGCGGACTGAGGGAAACTGTTCGCGGAGGGTCTTGTGGTTCATGGTCAGCTTCTCGGACAGTACCTTTCCACGAAGCTCCTCCTCGCTAGTAGATTCGGGGAAGCGATGGAGAAAGACGATGGTGTGGGTGTGGTCGTGGCCTTCGTTGGCATCCACCACCATGGGCTTGATGAGATTCTGGCAGAGAGACATTGTGGTGAGTGCTGCAATAGAAGTCCTCTAGGCTTTGTGATGGTTGTAAGGTTGTTGGGTAAAGATTAGGATCTCGAATGGTGTGATGGTTGCATGATTAGAAGGAGATCAGGATTTGGGAGGTGGGAAATTGTTTTCTTCTAGTAATTGCCAGGTGCTTTCTCCGGTATGCCTTTGAGTGCTACGTGATTCGGAGATACATGTGACTCTGCTGGCGAAAGCTTACATGTAGGCTACAACCTTGAAGGTTTTTTTGGTGGTCCAAGGCGGCGTTGGTGGCATCCCGCAGGATGCAGCTTCGGTCTGGTAACAACACCCTCTTTGATTGGATTGTCTTGCATTCCGTCTTTCCCCCTCAATGCAAAGTCACGTATCCTAGGTATGCATGCGAAATGCTTGTAAAGATGCCTGCGAAGTGATGAAGGAGCACTCGCCTCTCCTAAAGCTCCTACCATCATAATAACCGCCTTCTTAAGCGCCTTTATCATCTTTGCCATCGTCGGAATAGTCCGCTGTCATCACCCTAGCTTCTCGACATAGCCTGCCCTCAATCCTGGCATCTATCAGCGGTAATGTATTCACACTCGTGTCATGCTGCAAAAGAGGTAATGAGGGCCAGAGGTGTCATTGATGGAGAGAGAGAGAGAGAGAGAGATAGATGGCGTTATAGACAAGAATACGTTATGTGGAAGATAGAGGCAGCTTTGATGCGAATGATTTGGTATCTTCATTATACGAAATTCCGGCCCGCTGCCTCAACTGCCAATCTCTCTACCTCAGCTTATAAGTCATTTTATAAACGACGGCAACTTTTACCCGCTCCTTTCCTTCCAATTTGAGACTTCCTATACTTCAAACACTGAGACATCCTAATCGGATGTCGCCGTCATTCGCGAAAGTAGACGCCACCTATTGCCCATCAAATGTTTCCAGCAAAATCACCATGCGCAGCAAAGCGCTGTTGATAGTCGCGCAGATGAGCCCAGTTGCGCATCTCCTCTTCTTCATCCTGCGGTGTCATGTTCTCTCCGGCTATGTTGCTGCCGCTTGGGCCGGTTCCTTCAAGCTTGAGAAGGACGTCAATGAGCTTCACGAGCGCTTCCTCCGACTTCATAGCTACTGGGCCTTTCCGCTCAGGGGCGTCGTTCAGGAGAGTCGAAGCAACTTGTCGAACTTTGTTGATGAGCGAACCACCGTTAGGTTCGAGGTTACGCTGTGAGATGGAGCCTAGCACGTGGAGGAGGTTTTGCACAATCAGCTCCCGCTCTGCCGTCATCAACTCAAAGACGCGAGCAGCCTCTGCATCCTCGGCACTATCCCCAACTTGCTCTTCTTTATTGGGGTCGGACACGTGGACGTCGCGTAAGTTGAAGTACAGCTCGACATAGAAGGAACGCGTGGCCATTTGAGAGATGTAAATGTTGGCCTTTTGAATCTCGTACTGAAGCTGCCGCCGTCGTTGGGGGTGATTCTTGATCACGTTTCGAACATCGTTGGGAGGCTGGCTACTGGGGTAAGCGGGAGGCACGTATTGGAGATCGGCATCTTCGAGGGTGCCGAACCCGCTCGACTGCTCGTGAGAAGCACTGAGCTGAAGTTCAGGGGGAAGGCGGTCAATGATGTCCTTGGCGGCGATGAGGGCGTCTCTCAGCAGCGACCTCTGATCGGACCACGGAAGGGTGCTCATCCCGTAAACGAGCTCAACGCTGACAATGGCGTTCATGGTGGTGTAAATGTCGACGGCAAATCGGAAACCAGTGAGAAGTGTGACAGAGCTTTCCGGCGGATACACAATTTCGTTGGCCATGATGTAAAGATCATCGACGTTCTCGGGCAGGGCAGGGTATGGCAGTCCGGGAGTCGACGGGGCGATGACCAAGTCAGCATGGGAAGCGCCTAGTTGCGAGAAAGACCTGCAATATGTGTGAGTTTACATGGATTCCACGACGGCGAACAAGAAGATTACCTAACGCCGAGAAGAAGACACCAAAAGATACGCTTGCCAATCTGGTCCTTGATATGGTGGAATGGTAAAGGATCGGGCGAGCAGTTGTCGTTGCCAAAGGTGGGAAGCTCATTGGGATGCTTGGGCCGGTGAAAGCCAAGCTCCCGAATGAGAGACAGACACTCGGACATGAAGTAGCGGAATCGGGGCACTTGGAAAGTGTAGCCTGCCGCGAGCCCAAGGAAGTAGCTGGTAGCCGCATCATCCAACGTCTTTTGCTTCAATGCCCATCGCGGACCCCGCGTATCGAGGGCAATATCTCGACACCTCTCAATCATGACTATCGCCCTCGGGAAAAGGTGGGTGCTGTGTTGAGTCTTGAGATGCTGCCTTGCACTCCGGGGAAACGAAGACACCAGAGAGGCTATCATGGACGACAGAAGACCAAGAAACTCGGGGTTCGTTCTGTCCTCTCTGTTTGCGAAGGAGTGTCTGAAAGTCGGTTCGTGAGGGAATGGGGCGAGCGGGTGGATGTAGGTGAAGAAGTCGTCGATTAAGAGCTCGAGGATGGGGAGAGGTGCGATGGCCTCTGCATCCAAACGGCCCGGTCCTTCTGCTATCGAAACGAGAGCCTGCGCAGCGTTGTGCGGCGAAGGCGAAGGTGTAACGGCAGCGCCATATGAGGTGAAGGCAGCCGTGGTGGGCGAGCCACCCATGCCAGGCTCGATTCTCTGCCTCCGAGCGGCTCTGGCAGCCTCGGCGTGTTTGTTCGGAGGTCCTCGCCTTTTCAGCTCTCGCTTGAAGGTGCATTCGACGTTGAGTTCGGAGCATGGTCTACACGGCGGACCGGCCTCATCGCACTTGACTTTGCGTTGGGAGCACATGTCGCAAGCGCGTCGAAGGCGGGTCAGCTTCGGGTTGACTGTCGGGTCTCGTGGCATCGGCGGCATCGGGGCGAAGGCGTGAGGGAAGGCAGACATGGCACTCTGTGACACGGCACCGAGAGAGCCATCGGTGGCCAGTGGAGATGCAGGCGGGGCGCCTGCGACTGTCGAGGCATGAGAAGCATGTGGCGGAAGCTGGTGAGGCGGCGCTTGGGACGGAGTGTGTGGAGGAGGCGGCGGCGGCTGGTGGTGTGGATGATGCTGGACTTGGTCCTGCTCGACGGCCGAGGGCATCGACAGCTGTTCTTGCTGCTGCTGCTGTTCCTCAGCAGGCTGAGGCTCGTGTTGTTGCTGCTGTTGCTGTAGCTGCTGCTCATCGGCGGCGGCGGCAGCGGCTGCAACAGTACTCAGATGATGCTGGACATTCTGGATAGCCGCTGCAGCTGCCGCATCCGAAGCAGCTTGGAGGACCTGGAGTCCATTGCTGGCATAGGCGTGGGCGGTGGCTTGCTGAGAGGCAGTTGGCGATGCAGGAGAATCGGATTGAGGGTCGGGCTGGTGATCCGCCTGCTGCTGCTGCTCCTCTGGCTGAGGTTCCTGATCGGCCAACGACGATGACATCTCGAAAAAAAAAAAAAAAAGAGAGAGAGCAGGGCCCGGCGATGGCCCCCTTGGTCTAATCCCTCCTAAGGCGATGGGCGGTGCTGAGTGGGAATGGCTGATTGTCGGAGAAGCTCCGGCTGCGATTCGGGACGGCCTGTCTGAGTGCGCGTCCAAAGTGGGTGTGCGGAGGTTCTGGTGTTGCGCCGAGTCGACGCAGGAGGGCGGTGAGCCATACTGGAAAGGTGGGGGGACTTTTCGCACAGTGACAATCGGCCAGGGTTTGTGAGAAGATGCACGTGGATAAATGTGTGGGGCTGTTGGTTAAGCGAGGGTTCTCACACGGCTCAAATTCTGCCATTTCCAAAAATGAGCTAGCGCTGTCAATACAGTGCTCCACTATTTCATCCTGGGAATCCGGAGGGCCAGACATCGGACTGTTAATGATCATGGTCTATCGTACTCTTGCGATATCTTCCATCTTCCATGAGGACATTGTCTCTCTCATTCAGTGGCAGAAAATCTGGCTTGTTTTGCTCTGAGACGCTGCTCATTCTTGCAATCGTGCGACCTGGCTACAGTGGCTAGCAAGTAGGAATTAAGCAATGCGCCTGTAAACACAACCTTAGTTCCCTTCAAGATCGTTATTACTCTCCTCATCACTACTCTCATTGTCAAGACTGTCTTCAAAAATGATCTCTATATTACCATCCTTCTCAATACTAATTTCTCAAGGTACTTCCAGTGAGTTCTTTATAGAATACATGTAAAGAATTAATAAAAGAAAGGATAATAAGAGTAAGTATAATAGAAGTCAAGCTTTGGGGTAAAGGCAATAGTAGTGGTAGTAGTATTAGAAATAGAAAACCAAGGATTTCTTTTAGAGGTCAAGTGTTATGTCGCTAAAATGGCCAGTTTAATAAGTGAAATCTCAAGCCAACTCAATACTAAGTGAGTATTTCGATCATATTATCTATATTGGCATGTTCCGTAAAGCTTCGCTCTCATCCTCAAACCTTTTTCTCATCGATATTCTACTAGGCCTTGATAGTGACTCGTGAGTTCTTACAAATAAGAAATCTCGTACTGTTGGATCTCTGAGCAGTCGGCAGAAAAGATGGATCCTATGGGCACTTACAAACGGCCCTTTCACTTATATACCACTTCTGGGAGATCGTGGGCTCTGCCCACAACCTCCTCCTTCCACCTCTAGACGCAGCAATAATAGACCATTATTGACCCTTCGTTCCAACCGTACGATTGCCCTGCTGACGTGTATACCAACACGTACCTTGGAGTTTCTCCTACTGTTTCGAACAAAATTGACGAAGCTCTATAGAGACATCATACGATCAATGGTGGAAAAGTTGACACCTGATAATCTGAAGCACGACATAATCTAACTCAGTCGCAACATCATTAGGTCCATGAAACTGAATCAAAATTTCAATAAGAAGTTCTCACAGTACTCAACTGCATTGTTCAACATTATTCAGAGCAGATTCTGGACATGCTGGGACAAAGCGTGACGAAGCTCAAGAAATCTGTGCCTTGCATGGGAGACGAAAACGATGAAGCTGGGTTCACAACCATCACCTTAGCTCATCGTGCATCAGCCTTCACCTTCGTTTGAAGCGTTGATGTTTTTGGAAAGTTTGAAACTCGCCAAGGTCATCAAATGTGACAGCGGGGCCAGACATTCCGATCTCTTCTCCTAAAAGTCACAAAAGAGGCATTATCTAAGTGCTGCTTACTTTGGAAAACAGAACATTTGCGGTATACCGTCCAGCGACCAGTCCTATACTGGCAAGTCACATCCAAGCAACGCTCCATCCTCACACCATGGTTGGGCCACCGGGGCGAAATCAATATCAGATTCTCGTGGGAAGGTTATTGAGGTTGAATCAAAGACATTTATCCTATAATCACATCACGTTTATTCCTTTTCCACTCCCCCGACATGACTGGTCAGGGCGACTTCACTCGTCGCTCATTTCGGATCGTGTGTGGTGGAATGATTTATGTTTGCCTAGGATCCTTGTTGGGGCTAATATAAATGCCGGCCTTTCAGGAGAATTACCCCAGACTAGGGTATCATCCCGGTCCAAGTATGGCAAGTGCTTCCACCCACATGACAACATCAACGGCGCGTGTTCTGGATTATTGGGTGCGTGTAAATTGCGCCGGCGCGCTCGCGACGGCATCATGGCCAGATCTCACTCTGAACGGGGATAGGAATTTGGCCAAATGCAGAGCTTCATCAAAAGTTTTGTTATCAGATCTCGTTGCGTTGACGGCGCTGATGCTTACACCTGAGTATTGTGCCTTGCTGTAGGCTAAGAGGTGTCCTGGGAAGACTTCGGAGGAGGGGCTACAAGTATGGACTCTTGGCTAGGTTCAAGGTTGCCTCCAGCTCAGAGTTCTCTTGGACTTTTCCTTTAGGCAAACGGCCATCACCTATCTTACTCCCGTATCATCCGCGAGGCTACTTCCGAAGCACCTTCTCGGATGTCCTGGCCGCTAAACGCGCTCTTACCAGACAGCGGCAGGCCCAAGACGATCCACACCTTATTTTCCGTCATCCTTACTGGCAACATAAAGCCCCAAGACATACAAGCCTACCAAGAGCCTTGGCAATGAGTGCTTATTCCGTATTGGCATTTCGGACTTCCAACTTGGCAAGCATGAGGTCTTGAATGCAACTGTGAGAAGCTTCATATCGTAAGATATATCTGTTGTCGGACCAGCAGCTTGAATCTTGATTCAAAGAAGAAAACGGTAGAAGTTGGGATTAGAAGAGAAAGAAGACGCCCTATTGCCATCAAGAAGCGAACCAAGCACACGTGGAGGTTGTGTGTAATACGATGCCGGGACCCGAGATCCCGTCCAGTACCGTATACTCCGTGTTCTTGGACTGGAAGGCACACTTCGCCTCCCCCGCACCTATGCCAGCGTGAGGATTGATTGCAATTTAGATTGCCTCGAGCGATTGATGGAACGCGTTGCTGGTCGATTGGGGAGACTCCGGCTCCAGGGGTAAGCTGAAAGTTTCCCCTGATGCTTTGCCGAGGACTGTTGGGTGCCTATCTAGTCGGATCGATACTGTTCACTGCCCGACGGATGAATGCCTCCGTCACTGAGGCATGGGAGATCTCACCGGTCATGGGGTTGAGGGATTGTCGGTGCGCTTCCCGGTGATCCCTTTCTTGGTGCTGAGGTCTTGATCAATACTGCGAACGGAACCTAGGACTCCTTGTAAGAGTAGTCGCCAAGGTATACTTCCCAAGAAGTCTCAAAGAGAACTAGAAGTCCCAAGGAAGACTATAAGAAGACCCCCAGAATCACGCAAGACATCGTGGAACTCATGAGCTTCTTCACCAGCCAGAACTTCCCCAGCTGTTGACATCACATCTCAAGATGCTTTCACTCTCCGTTCTTCTCGCTGCCATCAGTGCCGTGTCTGCTCAGCAGGCAGGCACTCTGCAGACCGAGACTCACCCCAAGTTGACCTGGCAGAAGTGCACCGCCTCCAGCTGCACCAACGTCAACGGCGAGGTCGTCATCGACCATAACTGGAGATGGCTTCACGATGCCTCCGGCACCAACTGCTACGACGGTAACAAGTGGACCAGTGCCTGCAGCAGCGCGACTGACTGCGCGTCCAAGTGCTCCCTTGAGGGCGCCGACTACTCGGCCACATACGGCGTCACTACCTCCGGCAACGCACTCAGCTTAAAGTTCGTAACGCAGCACGCCTATGGCAAGAACATTGGCTCTCGCCATTATTTGATGAACAGTGCATCTGCTTACGAGATGTTTACGCTCACTGGCAACGAGCTGGCCTTTGACGTCGACCTGTCCCAGGTTGATTGTGGTCTGAACGGTGCCCTCTACTTTGTGCAGGTAAGTTGAAGATCTTCGGGGACAACCAACATGACTGAAAAGTATTTTTTGTCAGTTACTAACCTGTGATTAGATGGACGCTGATGGTGGCATGGCCAAGTATCCCACCAATAAGGCTGGTGCCAAGTATGGCACTGGATACTGCGACGCCCAGTGTGCTCGCGACCTCAAGTTCATCGGCGGCAAGGCCAACATCGAGGGTTGGGTTCCTTCGTCCAACGATGCCAATACTGGCGTTGGTCCCTACGGTGCCTGCTGTGCTGAGATGGACGTCTGGGGTACGCAATATACCGCCCCTATGCACCAAACCTTTGAGCCTTCTTGAGTTCTTGCTAATCGTTGACAGAGTCCAACTCTCACTCCTTCGCCTTGACTCCCCACGCATGCACAAACAACGCGTATCACGTCTGCGAGACGTCAGGCTGTGGCGGTACTTACTCCGCGGACCGCTTCGCTGGTGACTGCGATGCCAACGGATGTGACTTCAACCCCTACCGCATGGGTGCCACCAGCTTCTACGGCAAGGGCAAGACGGTCGATACTTCCAAGAAGTT